ACCTTCCCTTTTTTTCCTCCCCCCCATTAACAGGCACCTCTCTCTCTTTTATTTATTTTTTTCCTTCCCCTCCTCTCCTTCCCTTTTTTTTCCTCCCCCCTTTCCTCCCGCAGAGTTTGCCGTACACAAGGATGGATTTCACGGAGGCCTATTCCGATCGATGCTCTGCCGTGGGGCTTGCAGCCAGAGAAGGAGATGTTAAAATGCTGAGGAAACTAATTAAGCAGGGATACAGCATCGATGTTCCCGATAACAGGGGGTGGGTGCCAATCCACGAAGCAGCAGCTCGCAATTCGAGTGAATGTCTGAGGCTGCTAGTTCGTGCAGGTAAGGAAAACTCCATGTGAAATAGTGTGATTTTTCTGCTAAATTGCCCTGCCATATAAAATATAAATTAAATAGATTTCTCTTACCATATTCTTACTTGTTTTGTAAACTTCTGTGTGGTTTCATAGGTACTGACCAGCTATGGTAAAGACAAGTTGGCTGTTGTAGTCTGTGAGTGGCGTTTGATTTGACTTTACCTTCTCTGTCCAAGGCAGGCATCAGTCTAGGGTCAGCAATCAGTGACGCTGCTGTTTGAAAGAGTTGATAACAGCACATCCGTGGGTACGCTGTAGGCCACACATCCCAAATTACTTAGTTATTTTAAGAAAATAACTGTGTCTTGTAATTTATTGCCAAGTATACCTTTTTTCATTATTCTCGTTTGTAGCTCCATCTGATGACTACATAAATTCAAAGACGTTTGAAGGGATGTGTGCGCTGCACCTTTCGGCACGCCACGGGGCTTTGGAGAGCGTCCGTGTTCTTCTGGAAGCTGGGGCTGATCCCAATGAAGTTACCACTGAAGCAACCACCCCACTGTTCCTAGGTGACACGAGCTTTCTTGAAATCTCAGAACAACCGATGAGGGGGGGAATAGCTGATTCACCGAGTTCAAACTCGCCAGAGCTCATTCACTGCCTATCACATTTCTTATTTTTATAGCCTAAATACTAGGCTTTCGACTTGGAGATGGAGCGGGTCTACAGATTATGATTTATTTATGGATAAACCTGCTTCAGACTCTGTTCTAAAACAAAATGGTAAAAACAAATTGGTTTTTTGCATTGCCTTTTGTTTCTTTCTAGCACAGAAAAGGTCTAGGAGGTGTAGGATTAGATCTGTATGAGGATGATTTGAGTCTTTTTTTTTCTCTTTTTAATGCCTCCCTACTTCTTATGTAAAAAGATCCCTTCTTTCTGCAATTCCTAGCTTAGCAATTAAGGGCCATTATTTTAGTATCTTTTCTGTGATTTATGTTTGACATAATTAAATGCTTAAAACTTCTGCTGTAGTGAATCCTCACACTCTAAATCATCCGATTGAATACGCTTACTGTTTTACTCGCCTCCGTACCCCGGCAGACATCATGGCTGCCACGTTACCTTTGCTTACAAGTCTACTCGCATTTTATTTTTAAGCAACTAAATAGCTTATTTGCTTAAAACAATTGGTAACAGGGAATACTCATGGGGAAAACATTAAAAGCACACCGGGTAATGATAATTAACGCTATGTGTAAGTGCTTACATAGATTAGACAGGACCAAGGAATGGTCCTGGGGCTGCGTATCGAAGAGGTTTTTAAAAAGGCAAGAAGTTTACGGTCAGGTTGGTCCAGACTATATAATGGGGTTATGGCACGGCTCTGTGTTGGACACTGAGTACTACAGGCAGAGACACTCCTTTGGCAAACTCGTACACCAATACTCTAAAAATTAGTCAGTCAGTGGCAACTATTCACAGGTTGCTTCATATGAAGCTTTTACGGTTGCACAGGAAATGTGCCTTGGTAGAATGGTTGTTGGTGAAAACTTGAGGATGAATCAGGGTGCCAAAGGAGGCTTTGCCAGTGACTACATTAGCATAAATTAAATGCACACATTCTAATTTAATGTTCCATAGGTGTTTAAAACGGTTTTAAACTTTTTACAACAAATTCCCCCAAACTTAAGCTTTTTTTAAGGCAGCCACTGGGCGTTAGATGTTTGGGAGGCTGTTGGGACTGTCATGCCGCTAGGTGCCTGCTGCAGAATTGTCTCTGTGCTCCATGTGGAAAAAGGGAGGAGAGAAACTGGTTTCTGTTATCTGTGTTACCACAGCGTAGGTGGAATTTTAACAACTCTGTCTAAAATTTGTGTGGATAAGTTTCCATTCTCCAACTCTTGTTTTGGGGGTGTAAATGTGACAGGCAAGTAAGCACATATAAGGCAAGTTTAAAAGAATTATGATTATTGTGTCAGGAAGTTAGCGGTGAGACCATTTGAGTTTTTCAATGAGTTCTTTAAATCCACTTAATAAGATTTTTTATTTTATTTTATTTTATTTTATTTTTTTTACTGTGCTGTTTGAAGCTGTTGAAAATGGACACGCAGACATTGTAAAGTTTCTGCTCCAACACGGAGCAAACGTTAAAGGACTTCATTCTTGGTCTGGATGGAATTCTTTGCACCAAGCTTCTTTTCAGGTAACCTGTAAGTGTATCATATAAATTCCATGTAACTGGTGTATTCCGAGTGAAAATTTATCTATTTCTTTGCCTTTTAATTGGGTAATTTTTTTACCCTAGCAGTCACAAGGTTGTCTAAATGCTGAAGGGCTTGCAGTGCACTGAAGAGTGCATCTGAAACTATGCGAGATGTTGATGTTGGGAAGCAGTAGGTATTGTACGTACTCACAAGCTCATGTGTTGTATTTGGGAAGTGAATCTCTTAAAAGATTCTTTTGAGAAGAGTTCTGTTTAGTATCTCATCATCAGTGACATGTATGACCTGTTTCCAGAATAGAAATATGTTAGCTTAATGGCTCTAATAAACTAATTTAATTTCCATTTGTATGTATTGTAAATGAGTAAATGTGAGAAACTAATTTAAACTTGTCTAATTTTTTCTGCCATTAATTTTTTGGTTCATCTTCAGATTATTGAATGTATTGTGGTTTTTCTTCTTTCTGTTTGGAATGTGTGCAAAAAATCGATTATGTCAATTCCCTGCTTTTTTGTTGGTTAAGAATAAAAATTTATTTCAGGGATGCACTGAGATAATGAAAATACTTCTGGAGAAAGGGGCGAGCAAGGAATGTAAGGATGACTTTGGAATTACACCTTTATTTGTTGCTGCTCAGTATGGAAAACTGGAGAGTTTAAGACTGCTTGTATCCCACGGTAATAGCGATCATTCGTTTAGCTTCATTGTTCTTAAACTTGCATCACCAGATACAATTCTAGTTCTACCTTTGTACTTCGTTACTTCAAATTTTAGTGGGTTTAATGTAATTTTAGCTGCAGATGGGTGTGCAAAATCATCTTAATTGCTTAAATCTTGTTTCAGTAATTCCATGTAGTTTTCAGCAAATGATGGTAGAAAACGATAAATCAAAATTGTGAAGAGTTTAAGGTTCATCGGGGTCTTCAAGAAGCCCTTGATAGCACTACATTAGTGGTCTGATTTTGACGACATTGCTCTTGTAACAGGCTAAGCGAAGATCTCTCTCTGGTCATAAAGTGACGGCAATGGTTTCATTCACATAATGAACAAGTTTGATAAGTCTGAGGGTGTGCGTCCTTACCACCAAAACTAACCACCATCACTATTAAGCCCGAGGGTGCCGCGACCTGACCAGAGAAATCATACTAACTGATCTGCCAATACCTGGGGTGGAATCTCAAAAAATAATTGCATCAAAACGCTGCCTAGCCCATTGCCTTTTCTCCAGCGGGTTTATCTCGTGTTGCACTGATCTTTGACAGAGTTGATGTTAAGCGCTGACTGTCTAAAAAGTCAGCAACAAGCTGGTAAATGTTTCCTTATTGCTGCGTGATGAATCCCTTGTGTTGTGAAGTCACTCTGTTGTTTGTTTTGGGTGGTGTAGTGGTGACGTAAAGTATTGGCTTTTTTTCTGTCAGGTGCAGATATAAACTGTCAAGCCAAGGACAAAGCCACTCCCCTGCTGATTGCTGCGCAGGAGGGCCACGCAGAATGTGTGGAACTGCTGTTATCAAAAGGGGCAGATCCAAATCTGTACTGCAACGAGGATAACTGGCAGCTACCTATTCACGCAGCGACTCAAATGGGCCATAAGAAGTAGGTGATTAAAAAGGCGTTCAGACAAGAGTCTGGCAATAAAAACCTAATTGACAAAGAGGATATTCAGCTCGAAAAGAGAGAAAAAAAGAGTTCCCAAGCTGATCTGTAGTTTTAGAATTTATATTTGTTTTCATATTTTAAATGTCTGTTAGTAGTCCCAGTAAAGTGAACAACCATTTTGAATTCGGCATCTAATCTGGGTCTGGTCGACATCCTAATGAGTTTAGAGAGGTTTCCCCAGTGCTGAATCAGATACCGATTCACTCAATAGCCATATTACTTTTACATTTTAGAATATAAATAACATCATATGTTTTATACATGAACAGTTCTTAATTGGATATACAGTCCTGACCACTAAGTAGCAGAAGTAATCATATGCAAATAATGAATTAGCTGAACCAGACAGAAAATCAAAGCCACAAACCAGTTCCTTTAACCCTTCTAGAAATGCATTTGTAGCTTTGCCCAATCCCAATGATGTAAGTTGCTTTCATAACAGAAAACCCAGAGTGGAAGGAAGTTCCCAGAGTAGCACGCCATTGCGAGAGGCATCTCTCAGGAACTCCATGAGTTACCTGTGTGTGACAGCATTTAAAATCAAATACGTTAATGATGATTGCTAACTGCAAAATTATTAGTAGATGGTTGATCTTAACCCCTAGCAAAAGGAGGTCGTCAGCTGAGTTGTCATTAAAGGTTTGTACATCAGATTGATGCCTCTTCTCAAACTGATGAGGAGGGCAGACGGTAGTGGATACTGAGGAAGCAGGGATTTGTTCATTCTCTCAGAAGCAGAAGATGGGTTAGCAAAGTTGTCAGTAATAGAAATGTCTTTAAATCAAATGCTGCCTACGTAGCTTTTGCAGTAATACGTAACTGGTGACCTCTGAGCAGCACCAGTAAGTTCCAGTAGCAAAGGAATTGGCGTTCGTCACTAATCCTTGTTAGCTGGAAAGGCCGTGGCCCAGAGGTGTGAGCTGTGAAACAGAGTGGGTTTTCTGTTTCGGTATCTCAGTGAGTGTTGCTGAACAGAAGTAAGCATTAATTTTACTTGCAAATCACATTTTCAGTTTGCTGCCAGACTTGTACGAAGTCTGGATTTAATGTGCAGAGGTACTCTACTGCTGTAAAAAGGATTGTTTTATAACAGGAAATGTCTGATTCAGATTGGAATATTTATTGCCAGCCTAAATCCATGCCAAAGCTCAGCGTTTATTATGGGTCTGTGTATGAAGTAATAAAGGTTGCTCTTTTATGCAAACTCAGTAGTGAAAAAACAGGTAGGATTTTCTTAAGTCGTAATGACCATATGAAAAATGACCATACATTTAAAATTAACGATTGTGTAAGATCACAAAATAAATAGTGTTTTTAAATATTTGCAGGATATTAGAGTTGCTAATACCAGTTACTGATCGGATTTGTGACAAAGGCAAAGGCAAAGTGAGCCCTGTGTATTCAGCAGTATATGGCGGTAATAAAGACTGTTTGGAAATGTTACTTAAAGCGGGTTACAGTCCAGATGCTCAAGAGTGCCTTAACTTCGACTGCAGATCACCCATGTGTATGGTCTTCCAAAAAGAGTAAGTATACCTCTTAATTATGAACAGTTTCAACACGTATGTTGCCCTTTATTTAACAGTTTTTAAACGTGCAGTTTTCCTGCCCTTCTTCCTCAATTCTTGAGCTGCTGGAGTTGAACTGTAAGTATCCGAATGGCGCGAGGGGTTTGGATTGCTTGCATGAGCTGAAGAACCTTGCTGAAATCTCCAGCTCAGCTCTTTGAAGAAGAGTCTTGTAGAACGTAATTGCAGTTCTCATGCTTTCAGAAGCCCTTATCAACATATCTCTGCCTCCTGGGAACGTGACTCGATGCTGTAATTGGATCAAAAGGACTCTAAGTAGCCAGATTATTTTCAGTAAGGATGAGTTATAGGAAAACAGTGTTTTTCTGTAGGCCAGTCTCATGCATAAGACACGCAGAATTAATCAGCTCAACGCTATAGCTGTAAGGAGGACTGGGAAACTGAATGATACCCTCTTTTAGATCATGACCCGTTTCTGTTTATGCCTGGTGAGTGATGTGCACCCCTGGTGTTCAACAGGGAATAAAACAGTGCTTACTTCGTAACGCAAAGGCTATACTTTTGGAGGAAAAATAGTAAGGAAGTACTCTTTAAAAATTCTTGTAAGTCGTTTTTCCCCTTCTGTCCTGTTCTTAGTATATAATAAATAATTTAGTAAGGGATGCAGACCAGGTAACTACTAACATGTGCTCTAAATGAGGCAGGTAACATACTCTCACCGCTTTAAAACCACTTCTATGAAGTAATGTGTAATCTAATTACCAGCTAAAAAGCAACACATTAATTATCAGTCATAATCTCATTCATTATCATATTATAGCTGATAATGATAAAATTATTTTAGTAAAAACATTATAAAATGTTTACAAGAGTTCATGGGGTCCCTTAACATGTTTAACATTAGGCTGGTCCCTAAGTTCTGGGGTGCAATCACTTGGTATTTTCACATACTTGTCCGTCTATTTTTAAGGTGAAAGCTAATCAAGTGCAAGGGCGCAGGACTTTCTGCTTGTAGCAAGCACCTGGTGGATCAGCAGTGCAGTGATAACCTCTGGGTAATTGGTGGCTTTGGGCAGTTTCATTTGTGATCAAAAGGCTGGCTTTGAAGGGCTGGAAGCTGTTTGGGACCAGTGGTTTTTCAGGACAAAAAGAACAAATGAGTTAAATGTAGGGACTGGGGTCTTCTGAACCAGTTCTACATTTTAAACTGATGCTTGCCAGAAGGAACTGCAGTCAGAATGGCACGCTGGGTTTTAATTTGGGGGGGGGGGGGGGGCAGATTTTAGGTAGAAGAAATTGGAAGAAGAAATTTGCTTTCTCGCAGATAAAAAGTGGTAGATGCCTTCTGAGGAAAAACTAACTGGGTGTCCTGTTCCTTGTGTACTGTTTGTAGGTTTTTTTATTTCATTGATGTTTTCCTGAAATATGGGATCACCTTACTTGGGATTAATTTGGGATATTGCCTGTTCCATGAAAAGTTTACTTTGTTTCAACGCTTCTTGAAGCGGGGCTGTTTGCTGCCTTCTGGGGACCAGTTATCGGAGTTCATCAGTTACGCGGTTAAAGCGCATGAGGAGTACAAGGAATGGCTGCCTTACCTGCTCTTGGCTGGTTTTAATCCAGTGAATTTAATGCGCAGATTCTGGTAAGCAGATAATGTTACCTTGTTTGTTTAAATATTGCATGCTAATCTGCAAAGCTGTCGCCAATGTTATTTAAACCGTGCTTTCAGAAGATAGTACTTGATAGTCAGTTGCCATGATCTGGAATGGTGAGGGTTAGGGAAAGTCTGAAATAAAATATCAACAGGTGATGGCTGGATTCAGTAAAACAAATTTCTTCTAGGAAGAAAGCCAGAATGGAGATTACTTTATCATTACCCTGGAGAAAGGCATCGTTTTGCAGTTTTTGTATTGAACGTCTCTTATTAGCCCCCAAATTTAGTTGCAAATTGCATGCGTATGTATAGTATGGAAATGGTAAGAAGAATTTCAAATACTGAGAGAGGTCAGGAGGGATGGGAAACAAATGTAAGGTGAAGCTGGGCCAAGGCTAGGAGGAGAGGCAGCGGATGCAGTTGGAGATTGTGTTAAACAAAATAATGCGGCTAAAATTCCAGTCTGTTGGCTTTTTTTCTTTTTAGTTCTTCCACATACAACTAACTGCTTGGTGGTGTTTTATATTTAATTGGGCATACAGAATTAAACTTGTATTTAAAAATTATGAAGTATTTGTATTTTCCTCTGGTTTTTTTTCTTGTCTGTGAAGATGACACTTGGACTTTACTACCATACGTCTCAGCTGTTAACAAGAAGTGAGCTGTATAAACTCATTACATGCATTACTGAACTGTATGAAAGGAGTAGGATTTTTAAGGTTTACTTAAAAATTGATTTACTTCTCAGATATTGTTAAGATGTCATGGTTAAGGTATCATCGGTAGCTTGAAAAGCATTCATTTATGACTTAATGAGATTCTGTTAATCATTAGCACCCATGGCTTTCCAAAGAGTAATTAGAGGAGCACATATAAAGCATGGTGTGTCTGTGCTTCTGTCGATCATATTTATTCATAGAAGACCAAGTGATTGCAAAAGTAAACACGTTACAGGATTACAGTTCAGTGAGTGAACAAATCTCACTGTCCATGTACACCATATGTGATGCTTTTGGATATTTTGTCACATAACCCATAAATACTTCTGTACCAATTACTTCCTTTCTTTGAAGATCCACTTTTAAAAATAATACTTATCACATCTACAAAACTAATGGTTTTGTAGGTTTAACTTAACTATTCCGTCCTGGAAGGTAACAGGAGGATAGTGGACAGCAAATGACATTTATGCATACGGTTCATTAACTGTCTCTGCCTCCCTGTGCAAAAGAACTGTATAATCAGTCATAAACCGGTCACTCTAGAGCACTGACAATTTTAATTACCAGTGGGAAAAGTAAAATCACAGTTCTCTTAAAGAGCCCTAGGCAATTGGATCTCTCTCCTGTATGGTTTTCGGTGAATGTATGAAAGTTCAGTCCAATATGAAAAATGAAATAATAAAAACTAGAAATGATGTAAAATAATTCTGACATGAATCTCATGTAAAAAGCGTATTAAAAACTTCTAGTCTGGTATTTTTCTGTGTTTGGAGCGTTTAGATTTTCGTTCAGATGAAAATTCAGGATTGTATACATCCAGCCGAGAAGCTGTTCTGTGACACCGCGTGGCTCTCCGCCAGCTGTAATACTAAAGCAGTTGGTTCACCTGCTCTTACTTAAACCTCCTTACATGCTGTATGCAATTAAGCTGTTGTTAATAGTTCTTCACACATCCTGAGGGTTTGAAATGTAAATCATGCTGATTTCTGAATGCCTATAAATTCAATCTATGGTAGGAGAGTTGGAAACGCTTGCAAATTTTGAGGGTTTTTTTGTTTTGTTTTAATAAATAAGTAGCTGAATATACATGCATTTTTTCCCCAAAAGTGATGGCAATGCTTATAATGCTCTGGTGTCTTGACCCCACATGAAAGTTTAGGTGGCAATGGAATAAGAAATTAGTGCAGAGGAGAATGCTGCCTATTACCAAGGTATTTAAATTTCAGAGCGGATGTTTTTCTCTTACAGTCTAACTTTTTAAAAGAAATGGAGGAAGATAAAATTACATCAGTAAAGGCTTGTGCTGTCAAAATTACTTTGGATTTCTCTTTAATGGTTTTCTGTTTCTGGGCTTAGGATGTAGGTTGTTAAGGATTTGTTAGAAAACTGTAAAGCTTTCGGTGCATTCTTTCCATTATTGTATTTATGCTATTGTGTAAAATGGTATTTTATGGGAGTTTTTGTTACGCAGGATCTTCTCTGTGAGCGAGAATGCCCTTAATTTCATCCTGGAGTTCACAAACTGGAAGAGGCTTCCTCCAGCTGTAGAGCAAGACCTTTCAGACTACAAAGAGAAGTTCGCTTGGACTCCCAAGAGCCATTTTGGTAAGCAGTGCAGTTAAGGGGGGGAAAAAAAAGTCTCCGTGTATGCCAGCTTCCAGGCTGTAAGTGGGAAGCAGCTCTGTGTGCTAATGGACGATGGCAAAGGAGGTTCTGTAGTCGATAAATATTGCTTGTCCAGAAACAGGGGAGCAGAAATAGCAGTTACCCTAAACAAGCAAAACGTATCTGAATGAATTTGAACTCATTACATTGTTCAAACTGAGAGTACCCATTTGAAATATGCTGTCTTGTGCACTTCAAATTAAGGCATGTGCTATAAAATATGGGTGGTGACTGTAAATTAGTATTGCACCTTTCTGAAGTGATCTGTTCAGCCTCTTGGAAGATTTAAAGGAAGGTGGTCAATGTTATTTGGTTATGTTTTCTAGGCTATATCCCACTGCTTTTATGGTTTTTTTTAAGTCAATTTATATTTCCAGTGAAGTGTCTATCCTGTTCTGTAAGCATTTGACAGTAATTAAAATACAAACCATATAAATAATGATATTAAATACATACAAATCTCACTGTTCATTGTTACTCCTGTAATCAAAATGTGGTCAGCCAAAAAGATTCAATAATTGATTGTCCAGGAAAATGTTAGTGCTCACTGCATTCACCCTTCAGAAAAGCAGCTTTAACATACAGGTCGTGCACTGTGACCTACACGTTATGTGACTGAAAAATTGCACTCAGATGTCTTTGTTGGTGACTCATTTCAAAGCAAATTCTTCTGTAATGATTTTTAAAATGTCTAAGTGATAATCTTACTACTTCCTTTGGAATATTTGAAGCTAATTAGGATATATTTTTGGAGTCAAAAAAAAAAAAAAGGTTTTATTTGGGGAAATTTAGATGAAGTTTGTTCTTTGTTTCCTTTGCTATTAGTAAATACATTTGTGTTGTGATAATATCCAGCAACTAAAGCTGCAGAGAGGAAAAAGCAAGGGGGGGAAAGCATGAAAGCTTTCACTTTTTTATTCTTTCAGCCAAGAGCAGTCAGGGCAAGCAGGCCAGCTGCTGTGCTGAGAGGCAGGCTTCCCTGCCTGAGAAATACCAACCACTTGAACTGAGATGAGCTGGTCATGTGGGTGAGCATCGGAAATTATGAAGGGTTCGTGCGGAAAAGTTCAGGAGCTGGTATTCACCCCTCTAGCTGAAGGCTTGTGAAATGTATGGTCTGGTGGAGTTACACACCTGCTGTACCTACCCTTCCAATACTGAAATACAGAAATGATTGCAGTTAATACTACAGATTCCTTGTGAATAAAGTAAGTGGAGAAGCCACTCTAGGAGTGTTTGGAGGCACCAGAGTTCTGTATCCAGATAAGTTGACCTGTAATGCGAAAGTTTATGTTTGAGCGAATGCACATTTACAGACGTGTCTGTGCATCTTTTGGCACAGTGGTTGTCCAAAGTCGAGGTATTTAGCAACGTGTTAGAACATTTGGCATTGTATGCCAAGTGAGTCATGCTATCAGTTAATACTTATCCTAAAAGTGTTTTCCCTTACGTTATTTTGTTGCTGGACTTACTTCTAGACTCAACTTTTCATTTCTGGTAAGGTGGCAGGAGCCCCTCTCTCCCCAGGCCAGGTAGCTGTGTAGATGAACTACCCCTAGGCTGGGTAGATGAACTCTGATTAAGGATAAAATGATTCTTTGACACTTCCTAGAAGTTTAAGGTAACTTTTCTAGCTCCTGTAGGGCGCTGATTCTAGCAGGCAACAGCCCTTCCCTATTGAGAACTCTGGCTCCTTATCTGCCAGAAACTGGAGGGTTCAGATGGGATCCAGCCAAACCAGGTAACCATAGGCAAGCGATGTAATCCCATGGTGTCCTGTTCAGCATTTGACTTGTCTTTTAATTTTTCAGCCTTCATTCCTTCCCTGTCTCATCTTTGTCGTCTTGAGATCCGGTCCATTTTAACTAGCGAACGCCTGCGATCGGACCGGTTTATCCGGGAATTGCCGCTGCCAGCTTGTCTCCAGGACTACCTTCTCTACTTAGATGTACTGCGAGTCAACGCTATCCCAGAAGCGGAGGATTATCTGGGGCAGAGAGAGGAGGGAGCTCCCTCTGCCAGTCACTCCAGCGCTGAAGATGCAGAGAGGGGACACGCCTGTAACGCCGGTGTTAGATGATGGCGCTGCCAGCGACTGAACTCTGCAGCTGCAGATTTTGTAATGGCAATTGGCAAACACTGGAGAAGAACTACTGTAAATAACTGTAGTAATAAGTCCTTTCATGCTGTAGTTTTACACTTTATCTAGAAGTTTGTTAGAAGGTCTACGATTGACTTGTTTGAAAAGTCTGTTGTAGCTTTCTAAGTCTGTGAACGTTTTCTGGCTTTTGAAAGGAAATTTTTAACTCTTACGGAGTAAAATTAGCTTGTTCAATGAACATAGCTTATATACTGGTCGAAATCTATTTGGTCAGACACTGTTAGTAGACGCTTTATTCTAAGTACTGCATATACCGAACAAAATTATCTGAAAGTCAAGGAACACAATATTGTATTATTGTTACCAATTTATGTGTTGGAGTGTTCTAGCTGAACCAGAAATAGGAAAATAATATAAGAAAGGATTTTTTTTTTGCTGAAGGAACAGTGATTGTCCTGTTTTGTTTTTGGTTTTTTTCTCTCCTTGGTCATCTATATTTGGTGGAACGTCGGAGTGGGAGGCTGGCTCAGAGCCTCCACCCAGTCACTCCCCTTGCGTAGCCCATGGGCAAGGCATAAAATGTCCCCAAAAGCATACCGACATGACACCACCATACAAAAATTCCTCCTTCGATGAAGTGAAAAGGCAACCACCGTCCCCCCAGGGAGGGTGACAGGGCCAGGACACCTTGGTGGAAGACAGCCGCATCCCTTGTGCCGAGAAAGCCCTTGTCCTGCAGAGGTGAAGCCAGTGCTGCCAAGCTCACCGGTAGTAGATGCTGAAGGCATGGAGGATGTACAGGAAGCTCGTGATGAAGGCAAAGAACTGCATGAGAGGAAGAAGAGCAAAAACTGGGGTCAGCTGGGAGAGTCTAACCCCATCTCCTCTGGTGCTCTCAACCTGAGGAAACCTCCCAGCCTAGACCTCTTTCCAGCCTCAAAGAAGAGGCAAAGCCCTCCCCATTTCCCAGGAGGCAGCCCCGCAAGGCTGTCTGTGAGCTGCTGGACCCTGAGCAGCCCGCACTGGCTGCACGACGCAACAGAGACGAGATGCTGAAGCTCTGACTAGTGTGATGCTGCCAGGCTTGTGATGGCTCTGCTCCAGCTTTAATATTTGCTCTTGCATTTCCCCGAGGGGAACTGTGGGTGCTCTGGCCTGCCTGGGGTTTTCTGGACCAACTCACCGATGCGGCGCTGTTGAGCTGGTAGTAAAGCGGCAAGTTGAGGCCGGACTCAGAGCGGATGGTCGCGTTGGCTTGCAAGACAGCAGCACTCAGGTACAGGATGGCTGTGGCACTGTGGTACAAACTGTCCTGCAAAACAAGGGAGCAGCGACGATCAAAGCCTGCCCAGGACTGTCCTTCAGTGATTCACCCTGAGGATGAGGTGAATCACTGCACATGCAAGCACTCTAACGGGACACACACGCCCCATCAGGGGCTGGGACCAAACCCTCGTACCACACGGAACCCTCCCCTGTGCCCATGCAGCACCCACGGCATAGCACAGCTTCCCTTGGCATTTCCAGTCAAGGCAAAAGGAGGAAAAAGGGCTGGGTTTTGCAGCAGGGCTGGCAGCTAGCCAGCTAACCCGTTTCCAGCCACAGTGGTCTTGCACTCACACTGCTGCTGCCAACATCTGCCGTTGTCCCAGCCCCTCCTTACCACCAGTTTCCACTTCTCGCTGTTTTTGTGAAAGCCGAAGATGTAGATTAATAGGAGCAGCAGGGAGACGAAGCAGGAGCTGAGGGACACGTACATCACCCATCCCTGCAGCAGCGGGAGGGAGACGGAGGTAGCAGCGACGAGGATCCACACCCAGGTCCCGCAGAGCTGCCGGGGACAAACACAGGCACCTCCGATGAGCTTGGGATGGGGAAAGCCCCTTCTCCTCCCTGAGTCTTCCTCACCTCCCTCCTGGGCTGGCCCCAGCAGCTGTGGGAAGCCCTGTGTCTTTGGGCAGCATGGACCAGCCTCCTGGAGCATCCCGGTATGATGGCAGTACCACAAGCTGGCATGAGTTGCCCTGAACGCTCTTAGGAAATACTTCAAAAAGTTTCTTACAAAAGGGAAAGGTTTGCTGCTGTGTTTGACGAAAGGAAACATCTCGCCCTGAGGGCTTTGGCGGAGAAACCAGAAAATGTGTTTTTATCTGGGAAAGGCAAATGGCCACATCGGCCCAGCCCTGCCTCCTCATTAATCTCTGGGCTTGAATTTTCAAAAAGAGGAAGTCTCCTCCTGACTCTACGCACCAGTCTAGAGTGAGTTGCTCGCTCTTGATCCACCTATAATATTTACCGTGCACAAATAGCACGTGGGGTTATGTGGATAAGCTCACACCTGCGCTGCTCCAGCTCTGGCAGATGAAACTCCCCTGGATTTGCAGCGGGGAGCCGAGCCCGTCGGCACGGGCAGCTCACAGCAAAGCCCAGCCACAGCGATCGCGGCCGTGGAGCATGGGTGGTGTGCGTTGCCAGCGCTTGGTCATGTGTCAAAGTACACCAGTGGCTATCTCAGCCAGTCCCACTGGATGCCCTCTGGACCCAGAAGCAATTGAGAGATTGATGGAATGTCACACGTTACAAGACACCCAACAGCCTTCAAGCCCTAGGAAAAAACTCAATACAGAGAAAGAAATTCCCTTGATTTTCAAGCAATTTCTGTGCAATAACTAGAGCTGCTTCTGCCCCAGAGCCGCCATCAGCTCTTCGGCCTCTCCCAGCCCCATGGCAGCCGGCAACCCTCACGTGGGATAGAACTGGAGCATATCTTGTCCTCAAGCTGTTCCAAAAAACCACATCACAAAGATCACCTTTGTGCGTTCAGTATAAGCTAAAAGAAGAGGCATTACTTCCTATTAACGCTGTGTGCAGGATCGTTTTGGGGGCTGCTCCCTGCTTTTTAGATTTGCTCTAGAGCCACTAGTGGGGTGCTGTAGCGCAGCCACGCTCGGCATACTCACGATCTCCGGTAGCATGAACGCGTAGGGGACTGTTTTGAAGACGGCGGGTCCGGAGGGCAAGGCAGGCTGCGTGGAGGCCGCGGGGGGACACACCGAGGCCATCTCTTCTCAGCTGACACCAACGACTGCTCCGGCTCTGCTCCGCTCACATTTGTCTGCAGTGCACCGCTCCCGTGCGGGGTTTTAACTGACACACCCGCAGGGACGTAATCACAGAAACCAGCCCAGGCTGGCACCACACCGCTTCCTCCAGATGAAGGAGCCCTCAGCAGCCCTCCGGTTATTGCGGCTGGCTTCACACGCCCTGCTGCCAACAGTGGGACAGGAGAGCAACGGGACCCTGGCCCTGCTACTGGCACAATCAATTCAAGGTCTTTAACAAGAGAGGGGAAAAAAAAAAAAAAAATCCTACACCACGCTGGGGCAGAAACATTTCCTGCAATCAGTTTTTGTCCTTGGCACGCTTTCAAGCCTGAAGTATTTTTGCTTCCACCGTTGTTGCCTCCTCCCCTTTCTGTTCAGGTTTCTGCTCCGTGTTCACATCAGACTCCTCCACACCCACTGGGCACGTCCAGCCTTCAAAAACTTGCAGCCAAATAGTTTTTATAGACAGCTCAACACACTGGTGAGACAGGGGAGGGTTTGCCTGCATGCTTGTAAGTGCCCAGAAAGGTCTGAAGGCCAGATACCCGGACAGCCTTGATTTCTACCACCTGGCGGACGCACTTTGGATTTGACAAGCACACATTGTTCTTTTTCCAGAGGACCCTGCCTCACACCGTAACTCCCCGATAACTGGTGGGGTGAAAGGCTGAAGGGTGGCACCTCTGCCTCATGGCCTAGGGAAGTTGTTCTGTCCTCTCTAACTCGGGCAATACTCTGTAGCAGGAGGAGGTCGACATCCTAGTAAGGTATCATACCTCTCTGGTAGGAGAGCCAAGTGATGCCCTAGGAATTCGGCTTCTGTGCCAAGCTCTTGTGCAATACAGAGCAAAGGTCAAAGCTGTGACGTTTCTTATTGTCCAAGCCCCTCCTAGGCTGGGGGGAAGCGCTTTGTGGCATTTCTGGAAGCTCCAGTTTACAAATGTTGTCAGTGGGAGCTGGCTTTGGGCTCCATGCGGTGTGCTGTGGTCTTTGAAAGATCTTGTTTTAAAACATTTCACACCAGACAAAGCCTAGCTCAGACTTAAATCCATGTGTGACTTCGTGCCCGTCTGCCTCATCGGACGCGGTGGCAACATACCCATCACCATGCAGAAAGCATCCGGAGACTCGAGCACAACAGAGAAATCGGATTAATAACTTCCCACTGGGAGCAGGCAGCACATACGGCCTGTGGTTACAAACTGCTCAGGGAAAAGAAGCCTTTAGCACCCGAGGAATACTCCGCAGCTGGTTAGTGTGCTTAGAAAGTCAGCCCAGAGGGAGCTACTGTACGGCGTGGCCATGTACCGAGGAAACGCAGCGTGCCCTGAATCCTCACCAGCTTTTATTTGTATTAGGTGGGTCAAGCACATTCCTGTGAACAACCCAACCTTTTCCTGAGTGGGAAAGAAAAACAGTAAAACAGTCTAAATACCGAGCAACCTGCTGTCCACTGATTGGGCAAGAGATGATTTTTCTTTTTCTTAACCTGGCTGACCTTGCTCAGCAGCATTCTTAAAGATCGTTGCTATTTTCCTTGCCTGTTACCAGTCTACTGGGGTACTGCAACAAAGAGTCTTTTGTTCATCCTGATTAAAACAAAATTGGAAATTAATTGGAAGCTGCAAGAGGGAAGAAAAGTGCTGCCTCAGCATTTGCTCAGCTTAGGCAAAATATGACACTCGACGTGGCTACAACAGGTAAATCTAGCAACAGGTAACCACAGCCTTGTCTAACACTGCAAAGTCAAAAATTTAAAATACAATTTCCATTAGTTAAACTGACCAAATAATTCTAGTCTCTCTCAAAATGGTAAACATGTTAAAATGTTCATTACAGTTCAGGTAGTACACAGGTTCTCTTTGGTAAGAATTTATTTATATTGTTACCCCATTCTTATATAGCCTGAATTATTCTTCTAGAATCCACTCATACTCCAGGATTGCTCTTCCTCGATTCTCCTAAGAAATCATAAGCCAGCTCTGAGATATCAAAGGCTTTGTGAGTGTTTTCTGATGACAGCAGATACTGAAGCGCACCATCGTTCTCTCGGCTCTTTCTCAAAAAGTCAGCAATCGCCTTCCAGCGAGATGCTTCGGACTCTTCCTCAGCCCACTTGTAGTCAGGGAGGAAGGTGGACTGGAGGAGAGGGAAGACAGAGTCGTGGTACACCAGGACAAACAGAGACTTCAGAAATTCTCGATCTCTCTGCAGGGAAGAGTATTTGAAAATACCTCAGTGCAGATACGCGGTGTTGCCAAGCACTGCTGTACAAGTATTGTACACAGGAAAAAAACAGCCCAGAAAACATTCTACTAACCCCCAGTTCCTAGGATAACAACGGGAAGAGATTTGACCTTCAGTTAGCTCAGATGAGCCTCAAACTCGCCACCAAGAGCTACGCTATATAAACTATGGATTGACAAATCTGCTCTCCAACCCACCTATATTTCCAAACGACAAAGAGCAGCGAGACGCAGCCAAACCCTGCCAGCGTTACCACAGAAGGGCAATGTGTACAGCGGTCACCGAGAGCCCTTTGCTCACGGGGTATTTATATTTCTCCCTAAAAACACCCGTGTGTGACAGCTGTTCCCCACAGCCTCTGCAGGTACAGACTGAGACCGTTTGCCGTGGCCGGCAGGGAAGTGCCACATCTTCCCCGCCTTGGAAGCCCAAACTCCACTTGTTTCTCTACTGCCCTAGGCAGGGAGTTGTAACACTCCCACGCTCCTCGCAGCACGTGGCTCTTAGCAGGAGGTAAGGCCACACCGTATGCACTGTTATTTCACACTTTGGCAGGACATTCTGTGTGTGGTGAGAATTATGCCCTCCCCTGTAAAGACCAGTTTGCAAACCCAGAGACTAAGAATCGGCCCGGTCAATTATCAAACGTTGAAAGATCCTGACCACTTTTAACTAGATTTGTGTGCCTCGTTTTCCACACATGCACTAGAAAACACCTTCATGCAAGGACACACAGAGTGCTGCCTCCTGGAAAACTCACTGGCTGCCAAGACTCTTCCAGAAATGTTCCAGAAACCTGAGCGTACGACTGGCATAGAACCTTTCACGTCTTAGGAGGAGCTTTAGCAGCTAAGCATCCTATAAGCGTGCAAGAAGGAGTAAGAATTCACCAGGCAGCAATCCTACCATGGGAGTGGCACACGACAAATCAGGTAAAACTGGATGGTTCTGTGATACCGAGGAGTTAGTAATTCTTTGAGCAGATCAGCTTTCATTTTGGATGAATGGCCTTGAAAAAGTGATGCTGACTCAACAGCATTTTGTTCTGTTAGCATAAATGGGGAGATCGTGTGTATCTATTCCGTAGCGTGCACGATGAATGACATGCCCCGCTGCTGCTCCCAAGTGAAGTGTCCTGGATCAAGAGCCAGTGCCCTTCTCATATGGTTACCTACAGCTTCTCTGTCCAGAGGATAGGGGGCAGGACAAGGGACGGGTAAGCCTGGTGACGTGGCCAATTCAGTTCTTCTCCAGCTGTCTACACCCCAAAATGGGAGATTACAACTGTCTGAGGTAGAGAGGTTGGCAGAATTTGGGGGCCTTTTTCCAGGCAGACTGTGGGAGGACTGGAGCTCAGAGGTTGGAGGAGGAAAGATGATTTTGTGGACATACCAGCGCCTCTTGGACCAGCAGAAAGCTTTTACCAGTCATGTACTGGAAGCGCATCATGAAAGGGAACCACACTTTGGGTATGAACCTGTAATAGCTTCCCCACTAACAAACGTATACAAACACTGAGACAAAAAGTTACAAGTTAATTTCGTATTCCTCCTCCTCCTTGTTTGCTGTTGTAAGTATGGGTAAGAAATATTACAAACTGCATTTAGCATATCTATGTTTTCTAAATGAGTGTATGGTGAGAGGGAAAGTTAACTACCAGTAACACTGACAGGAAGCTTCTGGTTTGAATTAGATTGAATATAAGTCAAAGAAAAACCTGTAATTTATTACCTTCTCAGATCTCTTCAACGTTCTTTCTTTATCTGCCCAAGCGCTCTAAAATGAAATGAAATGTAAAATCAGACTGAGATTCTGGAGATCTAAAGCAGTTCCATTTTTAGCTGCACAAATCTCTCTCGCTGCAATCCCACCGTAGTTTAAGCTCCTGTTGCAGTCCCACTTCCCTCATATTCCCCATTCCTCCCTTGTGCCAGTTTAGTTGATTTAAGCAAACAGCCATTCCACCAAATTTTACAGATGTGAGGATTTGGAGATTTGAAACCATCAGAGCCATATAAATGAAATAAAGGGGATCTACTTTTTCAGAAAAATCAATCACAACTGAGGCTGACAACTTCTAACAGTAATGTCCTTCAGGCAGAAGTAACTCAGCTGTTGTTGTCTGGCACTAGGACATCTGCGAGGGACTGCAGCGTAAACGCGGTGAGCGTCTCTGCTCTGTCCTAGAAGCCAGCCAAACACTCAGACAGCTAATCCACCCAAGCACTCTCTTGCTGTGGCTACATGGCTAGCAGTGCTCAAACTAACTAGCCCGTTTATGTCTTTGCATCCCTCCTGAATGTACTCAAGCGTTCTCTTGCAATTTTGGGGGCACTAAGGCCCAAGAGATCTGCGTGTACTTGAAACGATTTTAACTTTGCTGCTGTTTGGCTTTTCCATTTGTCTTTTCACAGGACAAAAAAAGCTCAAATTTTGCAACCTGTCTGGAAATGCTGACACATCAGATGTAATTGAACGCTACGCAGATAACATACCCGAAGTGCGTCCATCAGGTCTGGTTCATCCATGAGTTGAGGGAAAGTTGCTAAAATAGGATTACAGATTAATTCTGAAACAGCAAACAAACACGTTCAAGGTTAAGGAAGAAACAGGATGGTTTTCAGGGTATCAACACATCAAGGTATTCAACATACCCCTTCCCCTCAGAATATTTCAAAGAAAATTAGCTGCAATAGTACTCCAGAGCAGCGGGGACAGTAGAAAAGCTCTCTAACAACTGCATTCTCTAGCTGTAGCAAACTCTCAGTGGCTGAGAGACAGTTAACCTGAGAGAGAGACACAAAACATGATTGCAGGTTTATTAGGAGAAGCCAGCAAGCAGGAGATGTTACTGACTTAACCTAGGGGTAGATTGAGGTGTTCTTCCTCATTTCTGCACCTGTCTTTTTTTATAAACACCTGAAATTGTGCTGCCTGATTTGGATGTTATGAATAAACACACCTTCGTTCTACCTTAATCTGGCTTGTGTGCAATTTTAAGATAACCAGGTAACAAGTGGCACAGTAAATTTACCAAACGGGGCACATCACCAGGCTGCGTAGGTCTGCTGCGTGCCTTCCAGGTTCGCTACTGGGTAAAGCTGGGGCTCCCGTTGGAGCTGAGCAGGCCGGCCGTATCAAAGTCGGGCAGGGCAGAGCTGCCTGCCCGCAACTGGCAGGAATCAAAGCGCTCAGCTACAAAGCAGAGCAAATCTTGAACCCCAGTGGCACAAGAGTCCTGTCGTTATTTTAGTTAATGAGGTTGCAGATAAGATTGCAAGAGTGCAGCAAGTGACATGTCGAGGAGTTTTGGTGGAAGTGTTTTCTTTCTCCGGTGATTTTAAATATTTAATGTACACTTGTTTCCTCATGTTGAAATTGAAGGAAAGTTTAGTAAACACTAACCATTTACTAACAACACAACATTTCATGGAAGCAAGCCAGAACTGATTGCTTTTGTGAAATGTAACAGACATCTTCAAGTTGCCTGTTTCTGATGTGATAGTTGATTTTGAAATAAGAGAAGTCGTCTTTTGTTACAGCAGGAAAAAAAGTAGAAAATGGCTACCAGAACAACTTCTGAAACACTGGGGTGAAGCCTTTAAACCATTCCAGCTGAAGCCTGAATCCAAACGGATGCAGCTTAACTGCAGGAGAGAGGTCATCAGCCTGATCTATCGTCCTACGTTATGAAGATCAAATCAGGTAAGTATGGCAGTTCTCTGGCCTTTAAAAACTAAGCAGTCTCAGTTTCTCTGTGATAAGTTTATTAAATAAAGCATTAATTTATTAAATGGTCTGACTGCCAGACACTGAAATCCATATACTCAGAACATATATTAAAGTTCAAGAAAATCAGGAGAGGAGTTAAGTTCTGAGCACCTTTGAAAGATGAACCTGTAATTCAGATGCCTAAGTACGGCTAAAGATTGTAAATTAAAAATGTTAGTAAGTGCCCAAGCAGATTTATTTGCCGTAGAAGAGATGATATGTAATTCAGTCTGGAGAAGAGACAGGAGAAAACACAAAAAAAATCACTTTGCAGTACCAATATAAATTCACCTGTAGTACAGCTAAGAAATGTGTTTTTTCCAGATTTGAAATTTATTTTAAAATGGAGAAGACTATAAACAATTACAGTTCTGTTGAAGGAAAGACGGGGAAGGAATAAGATAGAGTTGCAAAATCAGAGCAAGACACTGAGCTCTAAAACCGGAACTGTTCCACTTCTGTCTCTCCCTGCTGCATTAGCCAATAAGTAAATAATAATTTAAAAAAAGAGGATGACTTAGCCTCAGTGACAAAAACATCTGCCTAGTATCTTCTATAACTCACAAGAACATGCATATGCTAGAAACAGATGCGTGAACATGTGTGCATGTCTAATTTCTTGTTGCATGGGTGGTGAAAAGGAAACATTTCTCTTCCAAATAAGCCTTTACCTTTATTTACTTATTTATTTAGAAAAAACCCTTTACCTATCCCGCATAGGCTTTTTTCTTTAATGAGAATTTCACTGCAAACATTTCATAGAAAACAAAACCATTCTTGTGGGGTTTGCATTCTGTTACGCGAAGTGATGTCAAACAGGGCAACACACGAGCTGCAAGTTGAAATATTACTAGTCTGAAATGCAAACGCACCGAGTGGTGGCATTCACAGCAAGAGGCTGTCCTCTTTTATCAGCAGGGACAACAGCTTTCTGTGTGCCCCCACCACACCTGCAGGGTGAAAGTTAAGGCACTGAAATCCTCTACGCAGGGAGCATGACTTCCTAACTTTGTGAGACAGTCGGTCAATGCCAGCACTACCAGGGAACAAAATTCTGCAAGTACCCAGTACCCGTGAGAGTTCCTCCTGCAGACCCCTGCTTTCTCTTACAAAATAGAGACTCTGGAGAGAGTCATTCTCTTTAGGAACCCCATCTCTCTCCAACGCACTTTCCATTACTGAGTTCTTCTCCGCAGCTGCAATTCTTACCTGTGCTTTGCATGCTTATTCTGTCTTTCAGGAGTGCATCACCAAGTATTTGTCGATAAAATATCAAGAGATGGATGTAGCACATACTGCCAATTAACGTTTCTGGTAGCAAACTATTGGGGAAAATAAAGAACACGCGGTTGAGATTTTTATTCAAAACTGCTCCTGCAAAGCGTTGTTCACCAAAACTTGAAAGCAATCACAGTTCCACAGAGATTATTATTAGCTCGTATTGGCATCTCCCTGACACTATCACAACTTACGAGGGTGCACATAGATACAGCTCTAACAGCCAGACTCTTGCTGTTGCAGTTTTCAACCTTATCTAAACTTAAAGGCTTTCTGTTTGTTTTCAACCATATAGCTCTAAGTGTGAAATGGAGATGGAGTACAATATGCAGGTGATGCAACCCTCTGATTTTCCCATAGTCAGCGTTCCAGGGAAGGGGAACACTTCAGACCTCTGGAACCATTCTAGGCTATCTATCTGAATTATTTTTCATTTTATGGCAGCACACACAAATACTTACTTCAGGATGTCTTTTGACTGCGCACTTAATGACCTCAGTTTCACTATAAGCACAGGCTGTTTCTTGAGTGTCAAAAGCTGATGAAAAACACCACTGCCTGCTTAAGAAAGAAATAGCCAATATGAAATCCATCATTTTGAAAGAACGTTAAGAATTATATTACAAGAATAGACATTTAAATTTGGCAAGAGATGTTTTGCTAAAACTGTAATGGTTTAAGGATGGTCTAAAAGCCAAGAGGAACTTAACATCTGAAAATATATCAATGTATCAGCTATGTAAACATTTGGTCTAACATAGGCTATTACCTCTCTCTAGGACGGTGGATTCATAATTTGCGCAGAGTAACATGGAGGAGGTGTCCAAACCCAAAAGGTAAGGGCCTTCTCTAGCTTGCGGCACGCGTCACTGGCAGATGGATGTTGTTACAGCTTCCAGAGGAAAGCTGTGGCCACCCTTATTTAAAACACAAGTGGTCTAATGTCTGAACTAACCCATAGTGAAGCTTTATTCAGCCCCGCAGGGAAGACAGATGTTCTGTAGCGTATTTATGCACATGTGGAAACTCATGCCTAAGTGATATGGGATTGACGCTATGTGATTTGAACAGCCTGGCTTGGGAACTCTTTAGACCAGTGTAACTGCTAAGCCTTGCTGCCATCACCCCATAGCCAAGAAGTGTGAAGTGCAGTTAAAGAAATAATCAAACACATTCATCAGAAATAATCCTCAATCTCCAGACACTGGAAATTACAGAAATGTTAGCCCTGCCAGGTAGTTCTGAATCCCACCAGCCCTAACAATCAACTCTCTCTTATGCAAAATGAGAAGACACAAAACCAAACCAGGCTGTGGTGACTGCAGGCTAATGAGAGCCCTGGCTGAGCACTGCGTGTTGTAAAATAGGTATAGCATTTGTTGTATCGTTGCATTTCTATAATGTTTAGGAAAAAACCCACCTCTTCTTGATATTGATGGGTCAACCTCAACGCCTCTCTCATAGGGAGTACCACCGTTTAATAGCAGCTCATACATCCTGTGAAAGAAGAGCAGCACAGTTAAAATAAAAAGATGTAAGGATACGTGAGAACAGCACAACCACTTTCCAAGAAAGAAAGAAACAAACCTGTTATCTCAGCCAAAAACTGGCACAGTGCTTGAGGTTATGACTAGTATTTTATATGAAATGTCTATACGTAATTACTAAGTAACCAACCCTCAAATGATAAATTTGAAACTTGTAGTATATTGGGAAACTAGTTCATTATTTTAAAAGAAATTGGCAACACTGATTTTCTTTTCCACATGACTCCAATATTTCTCTTGTATGAAATTTAGCAATTGTCTCACTGAAACATTTTTGAGGAGCCATCGCATAAGTATCAGCTTTTAGATCCGGAAGATGTAAAATGTTGAGGAATAATGCCATCCTAGTTCTGTCAAGAGTAAGTCACTGTTGAAGCAACCATGCGATTTCACTCTCTACATAGCATCTTTAATTTAATGGAATAGAAAAACAATGTTAGAGAGCAGATTTAGAAGAGATTTAGAGACTTATAGAACAGTAGAAGTCTCCTGCAGGGTTTTTTTTTGCCCTGTAATCAAAATATATTCGGAATACACATACATATCTATATAGATATTTGGTAAAAATGAAGTATCACAAGTCTGATCTACAATTAATCATTTCTGTAAATTAATAGAAAGATTTCCTACATTTAATAAAATAGAAATATGTATATTTTATTATTCTTCAAGATTGTTGGAGCCATCAACTAATCATAAATGAGCTGCAAAATAGAAGCTTACTCATACTCTCCAAGTGAATGGCAAGAGATTCGTTCCCAACAACTCTTAACCTGCTTCCAAGTCTTCGAAGCCATCTCCTGATTTTTACGTGGGAAAGGGATATACGGCAAGTGCACATAAAGAAGAGCCAGAATCAAAAAGGATGTCGTCACCTTCAATTTAGGTAATGATTCTATTTTATAGAAACAGAACTCTAAATAACTCCCTATTAACCCAGGCATTTCCATAGTTTTAAAATTCCACTGAAGAATATTTCTAAACATATTTACTTGGAACATTTCAAACCTGAACGCTGGGTCTGGGGAGCACTTTTCCCACACGAATTTAGCAGAACACGCACTGGGTGCGGAAGCAGGACCAGCATTCTCACTGAAAGTCCCAGTACAACCTGCATGTTAGTCGGGATTACACCTGCCCCCATCAGGGTGTAAGTATGAAATATGAATTTTACTCCTAGACAAAAATATATATATGTACATACATATGTAAATACAGAGAGAGTAAGAGAGAGAAGGAAAACATAATAAACGTACTTGGAAGGAACGGGCATTCCATTAGAGGTAAAAAGCTTCAGAAATGCCCAGCCACAGCTTAGCTCTCCTCTTTCGCCCGTTGACTAGAAAAAAAGAGAAACATAAATAAATTGAGCAGCTAAACCAGAATGAGTAACTGAATCACAAACAGTTATTTAGATAGTCACATAAAAATAGTAAAAGCCCCAGATTTGTGGTAAGCAAACATTGACTGTGTCACATTCACAGGTGTTTGAAGGTGTTTTACCAAACAGCGCACATAGTTACGCTGAAGTTGATCATCTGTGAACATATTTGGAAGACAAGGATTTATAAAGCCAAGAAGTCTACGCTGAGGGGAAGCCTAAGTATATCAAGCTCCTGAAAAAGAGGAAATGCGCAGATACAAAGGTAAAACCCCCAAAACCTGCACTGATACTCTAAAGAATGCAGGACAGAAAGGAGGAGGGGAAAAATATACTCAGAGGATTTACCCATCTGATTCCAGAGTCAACATTTTCCAAGCCAGTGGCCCTGTGCATCAGAAGGCTTTATTTGTAGTACCAGAGACAGTGCCTGGGAAAGGGAGCTGATCCTGCGTGCCAGCCCATCCGTTTCCAGACCCCAAAAGCGCTAATAACAGGTAGGAAGTTGTAAACACTCCAGCCTTCATTTAAACTTACTCTGTAAGCAGCAGCAGACAACTTTGCGTAATTTTGACTACTCCAATGAGCACGAGGAGGGCCATTATGCTCCATTAGGTCTCTGTGAACCATCACTTTCTAACATGCTGTTCCTCACCAGGACTTACATAGCCCAGCTCCCTACTCTATGTACATTCTACTTATCTCTCTGTGCAACAACTCTGCATCCCCACCACACGATCAGCATGTCTCTCCTCCACACCTCCACGGGCACTGCACTCTTGCACCCCAAGTTCCTACAGCTGTTAGAGAAAATACAGCACTACTCCCCTTTGCAACTTCTCTATCCATCTTCTTAGAAATCCCTTGCTCACCATTTAATAACCTGCTTGCTAACCGTTGCGGTTACCCCACTTTTCATCTTTCACCCCTGATGTACTTGATTGCCAAGATTCACCTGAGGAAGGCTGTGACCATAATGAAAATGTAAGCGTTCAGAAAGAGGCAGCAAGACTTGAGTCAGTCTTGTAGACAAAGTGGCTGAGATCTTTCAGAACAGTGACCTGTTCCAACACGCCACCATATCCTCCAAATACCAGTGCTTCTTATGCTCCTGCATGCATCCGCCTTCTATTACAGTAGTTCTTACGGGCTTTACCATTTATTGTGTCACTACCTCTTGTACTTTGCAGAAGCATATCCTAGATGGATAGGATATATCTGTATGACTTACAGCTAGAAACCAGTGTCCATGCTGTTTAAACTGGTAAAATTTTAGTTTCCAAACTATATAGCACAGCAGTCTGAAACAAATCACAAAGACAGAAAAACAACGCAGGAGCGAAGAGAGAATTGGTCCTTTGCAATCACATTACACGAGGTCTTTGGCAGATTAACAGAAATTATTTCAATGTAAGTAAAGGCACATTCATGTCCACTAGTCAGAAAGTCTTTTATTCTCTAAATATTGGCTAGAACAAAAAGTTCCAAAACGCAGCATCTCTCTCCTCCCTCCCAGAAGCCAAAAGGAAGACAATCTTACAGTGAGCTAGGAAAAGTTCAGCTGAATTTCCATTTGGATCTCACAGTTCACTGCTGGGGTACCGCAGCTCAACATCGGCTATGGGACAGCTGGTTCGCTTTATAAGCACATGCTTGGAATGATTTATACTGCACCTTTACACACTTACATTGCGAATGTAAGTGATGCCAAGTTCAAATAATATCCCAATGTCTGAAGACAGAGAGTCGGACCTGACAAAACAGTCACCATCCAGCAAGCTGGGTAAAATACCTGTTACCTAATACAAAGAGAGGGGAAAGAAAAAAAACAGTGAATGTACCTATTAAAAAAACCCCTCTGATTTTTAAAGGCCATCAAAATGGATCTCAGACCCAATCCCATTGCATATAAAAGAAAATGAAGAGAAGCAATTTCAGGTGAAACCTTGCTCACCTTACTTTTTATCTTGCCATGAAACACAGCTATGCTACCGAGATACTTTTGTGCATGATGACAAACTATTCAAGAACTGTAGATGTCAAAAAGCACTTCATTCCCTCCAAGAACACAGCAACAACTGGGGCAAAACATGACAACACTACTGCTCTGAGCGCAGCCCTGAATGGCACCTGAAGCATGGGACAAAGCAGGTGCTCTGTTTTGGTTTTTTTTAATGAAATCAAAGCAAAAGCTCACATGCAAAGGGGCTGGTGTCTTCCCTTCTCTATGAACACCGTGCAGCGTGCGCAAGTCTTGTCTTTTCTGCATGTTCATTTTGGTTGCAGAATGCTTTATTTCAACACAAATACCAGAAGTAAGAGACGTCACTAAATAAGAAGCTGTAAATAGTTACTGACTATGTCACTCCCTGAATGAGATACCTACCCTTGGAGAAAAGGTCCACGTTTGAGGATTTTTAGGTTGCCACGTAGCTCTCACTGTGTGAATGTTACTCAGCACCTGAAGCATGATAATGATGAAAAAAGCTAAGACAAGTTTTTCTGGAAAGCCACGCAGCTTTAAGAAATTGCAGCATTATCCCAAATTAATCCAACGCTGCACACAACAAAGATGGAATTATGCTTTCTCTTCAACTTTATCACATGGTTTCAGTTTAAAGGACCACAGAGGAAGTTTTCTCTGAAGCCACAGAGCACTTTCCAACCATCCTTGCTTTCCTATACAGCAGTAACAGTCCCTTTGCCCCCGAGAGCGTTCAGTGCAGCAGGAAGAAAACCACTGGACTGTCTGCGTTCGATTCTCTTACAAAAAGCTGCTCTACGCATACGCACAGAGGAACAACTGCAGGTGGGGAAATCAGAAAATGACCCTGACCCAGCTGTTCCCAGGCTCACCACAGGAGAGAGAGCAGCCCGGAAAAGGCTCATCTCCACAAACACGAAGGAGCAAAGAGGCACAATGGCAGGTGGGGGAAAATTACGGACTCAGAGGAATGGAGCTCTCGCCCCAGCCCCTCCCTGGGCAGCCCAGGGGCGGGGTGTGACACCCATCAGGATGACTCAAAAGGAGTGGCTCTCTGCATCACCTTAGAGACTGAAAGGGATTGCTGTTCAGGGATAGGACACTGTGGCATGCAGGGGAAGAGCACTTGGGGACTGCATGTGACTTACTATGGGATGTTTAGTCCAGAAAGCAAAGGCAGAAAAAGGGAGGGATCAAGGTGTGTTATGGAGTAACAAGGGTGGGAAAATGAAGGGATAAGTATGCATGTCTGGCCACGCCTGGCACCTGATCAGTGCAGTCTGCCCTGTTTTTTCATTAAAATCCATTTACAACTCTCTTTCTGGGTGAACGGGCCCTCTATTCTGAATGCACGTGTGTGTGGAGGTCTAGGTGCCAGCAACTAGCCAGGCCACAGGTCACTGGGGACCTCTGTGTCTGTGGTGACAGCAACTGTCAGTGTGTGATCACAGTCCAGTATCAAGTCAGACAAATGAGAGTAGGTTAAGGGGCTGGGGAGGCAGATTGTGTGTCTGTCTCTCCCTCTGAGTGAGACAACTGGAGGAGTTGGCTACTGGAGGTACCAGAGCATGAAACATCCTGAAAGATCCACAGCTCAAGACTTTTTTTGATAGCCAAACAACTTACCCGATTGCCGTCAAATAGACAGAACCGAACGTGTCTACTGAGAACCTGTATACTGACTCCTGGGAGAGGAATCATTTTACAGCTACATAAAGTTACAATCAGGGATACTCGAGTTGGTCTAGGATAGATCTGAAATACAGACAACAGAAGGAGGATTAAATCTACAGGCTCCTCCTGAATGCAGTATCAGTTTGTTTTTATTTACTAAGATGACAGAGCGTAGCATCCACTAGACTGGATTCTTCTAACCACAAAGCTGGTGCAGTATTGGCAGCAGCAACAAAATTTCTTCATAAGCCTTTAGCTCTCTTCTACGGAGGTTGCTACAAATGTTTTAGTGTGACAGGCAGGAGGTCCTATCAAAGTCTGAGAAGAAAGAAATATTCTAAAAATGGCGCAAATCAAGACAAAATCATTAGCCAAAATGAAAGAAGACAAATGAAACTTATGATTTCACAGTGCCTAGCAGAAGTTCATGGCTTAAAAATTCAGACTAGTCACCCATGCAGATCTGCTTCACCCCAGACAGGGAAGGAGCCCTCAAACTTGAGCCCTCAAAACAAAGCCCTCAAAACTCATTTCAAGATGAAACATGACTCTTAAAAGATACCCAACATGATGATTTGTACCAATTTTTTGCCTATTAGAGAGTAGGATGTGATAAAATCTACTGCCTAAGGAGTCTGGATTGACAATGAAATCTATTGTCTGTTCCACAGCAATATTTACCCGCCGATACGAAATAGCGCTAGCAATTCGCACTTACAGATCCTGTCCCTTCTCTCAAACCAAAAGCATCATAGCTTTCTTACCAGTAATACTCACAGTATTTTTTTCAGAGTTCCACACCAAGTCTTTGAAAGCCAACTGTGATGGAGTAAGTTCAGGCTGCAAAAAGTAACTGGCTCGAAACTGATTGTCTACAACAAGAGTAATTTTAAAAATTATTAAATTTTTTTAATGATTTTTATTGCCACAAAATGAACAACACCCAAAATTCAGATGTGGCTAAAGTCCATTTGAATATCTGACTGGTCCAAACAAAACTAGGGAGGTATCTTCTACATGTACCCTTCAAAAAGGGTACTTCTACTATTTGTAAGTGTTCTGCAGTATTTCATTCCAGAAGCACAGTAATTTAATTAACAAATAGAGCTATTGACTTGAAACCGTTTTAAACAAAAAGACAAAATATGAGGTGTTTAATATACTTGGTGAAGAGACTCCAAAAGATCTGAGAGAGGAAGGGAAGATTAAAAAAACATTGTTTTCTGAAATGTCAATAGAAAGTGTCTTCCAAAGAGGAAAATCTTTGAAATCATTAGGAAATTTGTCATTGCCTCCACGTGGCAAGTATTTCATACAAATAAATTAAAACTTGAGACAAAAAAAAAAGCCTCTTATCCATTATTTGATGGGTCAAATATAGCCAGATTACCAATTATAATTAAACAATACTGATTTTAGCTCAGTAGGCTGGTAACCAGGATTAGAAACTCTCCACAGACACTTGAGAATCCTGTGAGAAAACCTTACCTTCTTCTAAGAGCTGGAAAAGCGTGGATAGGCGGAATCCTGCAGGAACTGCTCCTATGGTTGCCAGTACCTCTACTGTGTCATTCTATTAAGAAACAAACAAACAAATATTAGTATTCCTGCTATTTAACATCTAATTCTATCCTCATTTAGAATTCTCACACAACCAATATCAGAAACCTGTGGCATCATCGGTCACCTCATCTGAAGCCCATCTCCGGGAACTACTTTTACTCTGTTTCATGTATTGACCCAGCCAGGCTCCCACTTTGTTAAATCCCCCTTCCATTTCAAAGCAGCAGCAGGGCAGCCACTTACAGAACACAATCACACCCTTGAAAGAAACGGTGTGGCACTACTGTGGCAAAACAACAGAAGACATCTCATTTGCATCTTCATTCGGACACATGGACTGGGCTGCAGCCTGTATCTAAAGCGTTAGAGAACCTTAGAATTTCTTGCTACAAGAAACAAGATGTTAATGAAGAACACTGGCCTGTACTATGAGAACTAGCATTTGGTAAAAGGCAAACCTCGTCTACAAAATAATTAACATTGCGGTAGATGAAGTTCCTATGTTAAGAGATACACCTACCTCTGTAATAGCTTTTCTTACAGCACTCCAGTGAGGATCTGTTCTGGAAGAAAAATAATGCTTTTTTATAAAATATCATCCTCGTGTGGACAAAAATTTAAACACTAAATACAGGTCTGTCTTCAAATACCAGCAACTTAATGATCGTATCTATCTGAGAGAATAACAATAACAATGTATTTCCAGCTACTAAGACTAATAGATAGACTGTCTCATGAGCTGGAACATAATTCAATACTTGACCCAGCCATTTTTTGGTTTTATGAGGGGGGGGAAGCTAACCAAAGCAAAACTCCCAAACAAACCCACTCAAATACAAGTGTGTCTGCAAGCTCCAAGAAAAGCAAGTGTCTGCTGCGCTGAAAAGAAAAATGCAGTCACAAAGAACCAGGCGCCCTTGCAAGGTATTCTCACTGTAAGAAATGTACTGGCAGATGTAAGGAGGAGGAAGAATAATTTTATTATTGCTTACTTGCTTTCGCATCATCCATTTACCTTTTTTTAATTTCAGTTCCATCTGCTGTTTCATCCACCACTTCTACGTGTTCTTCGCTTTGCTCTTGGCTGTCGACATCTTCATCAGGGACCTGTAATTCAGATTCAAAAAGGGAAAGCACATGATTTCGTCACAGTTCCGTTCTTAAAAATGCTTTCTCCAACCATAGCGCATGTTAATAGTTCAGAAGAGGAGATTTTCTGTCTGCAACGACCTATTGCTCCATAGCACTGTCACTGCAGAACACTGCCCTTAGTTCTGCAGTTACAGCAAGGGCTTGGGGTATTCCTACAAGTAAGCAAGAGGACGCATTTGCAAAGCTGGCGCTTTAAAAAGAGAAATACATCAGCATTGTGAATGTAAAACGTTAGCTACTCAAGATGCTCTTTAGTTACACCGTGAAAAGCTCTGTTCCATGGGGTGAGGGTTGGACTAACAGGACTCGCTCAGTCCAAACTGTACCCACTTCTAAATGTTCACCACAATCGGACACTGGCTATGTGTGCATAAGTACATAAACTAACACATGTAAGCCACTCTAGAAATGAAAATTCAAAAGTTTCAAAACTTCAAAATCTATTTTTGAAAAGGTTCTTCTGCGTCAAAGTACAAAATAATCCAACATTTACGTGGACTCGCATTTCATATAAAATATGAAAAGCCTGAATCGGTCCATAGCAGCTTGAAGTCTTCGGAGTTGACCTTCCGTGACAAAGATTAGGACTTTCACATTCAAGAAACTTCTCTGCACTTAACATGTCACATCTCCACAAGGCACAGAACCACTGCTTTAGCTAGCTGCCTCCACACGCATGTATACAAACGTGGCGTTATTTCCAAATAACTGGCAAAACACTGCTCCGCGTCCCCATGTAAGCAGTATGATCAATTTTGTGCAGCTATATTGTCATCAATACATAAAGCAACAGAGGTGAGACTAGAACAGAAGAAGGGTGCAGCACACTAACCGCAAGATAGGTCCTAGGGACGAGGCCTCTTTCCCCTTTTGAGTTTTCGGCTACCCACCAGCCATCCGCCTTCTTGTCATGTATAAGTAGGACTTCACCTTTCTTTGCCATTAGAAGGAGAGACAACCAAATATTTCAAAATGGCTCCAGGCACAATTGAAAAAAAAAAAAATTACCACAAAAACTTAATTTTTCCCACAACAGAGACCACAGCCTACCGCAACAGACCCTGCCTCCACAGAAGGCAAAAGGACAACGGACAAAGGACAACAGACTCCACCAAGCCAAAGGTACACCAGGAAAAGCCATTTCTCCCCAAATCCCACAAGGAACTGCCTGAATCCCAGAAGCATAGGATTTAATTATAGCTACTGCTTAATACAGAATGATCTGCAATACTGATGTGTCAAAAAACTTTTACAGATACATATTTACCGTAAACGTGAGATCCCCTTCCTCCTGTGCATTAAAGTTTCCAACTGCAATACATTCTTTAACGTTTGGATCATCCAACAATTTATCCTCATCATCATCATCTGTTTCTTCACTGTCTTCCTCCTCACTACTGTCTTCATCTTCACTCTCATCCTCTTCTGCATTTTCGTCTTCTGTTTGAGGATCTTTCTGATGTTCCTCATCCCTACCCAAAATAAATCAAAACTTTATTATATAACAAAACGTCTTGACATGGCTGTACAGCCTTGCAATATGGGCTTCTCTGCAAAGGTGTTACCCAGCTACAGAATTTTCATTCCTGTGTTTTACTCCCTGTCCTGATCTGAAAAAACTCCAAAATCCCAGTGGTGTTTCCTCCTTAAGCACCCAGACCACATTGCATCCTCTCCTCTCAACAGCCACATTCTATTTCAACGAACACCCTCCAAAAATTCCAGCGAGTCGTTCTTGACTGCATCCAGAAAACAAGCCCCATGAGAGCCGGCTCTTCAGTACTTCTTTTTCAGCTGTGTGTTAAGATAATAAAGGTGACGAGCTAAAAATTTTTCACGGTCCTTTCCAACCATACACATTCAATTCCACTGAAGAGCAGACTGTATTTATTTGTTTAAGCTACTTACACTGCGTAATTCATAGTCACATTCTCCTGATCCAAGACAAGAACAAGTTTCTGCAGCTGCCGAGAGAGTTTTAGCAATAGCTTTTCTTCTTCTTCTTTCCTCTGATTATAATTCCCCACAGGCGCAGGCTCATCAGCCCGAGAAAGAAGAACACAACAAATTGCTCAAAGAATCAGAGTTAAAGTTCCCCTATAAAGTTAGTTTTCCAGGCAGGTCTTACAAGCTTTCACCTTCCTGGGCTGCCGTCACTCCCTGTTTAGGGACATCTTTCTTGCCCTTTTACTCTGCCAAGATGCAATTTCAGGTTGAAGTCTCCATTCTCCACTTGCAATATAACGCAGTGGGTTGATAAACATTTTATAATGTATTAGGTTGATAAAGATTTTAAAGAACTTGTACACCATAAAGCATTAAAAATGTGCTTTTAAATAATATAAATGGATCTCAAGAGATCCCAGCCAGGGGCTGTGCAGTGCTAGGCATTGCTCTTGTCCTGAGGCGAGGAGGCTGGTGTTCTCTAAACGCTCTCCATGACACATTTTGGAGAAAAACCATTAACAAATTTGTCTCCACACTTACTTTTTTCAAATTATGAAGAGCATTCGTATTCTCCTCCACCAATTTCTTCAGCTGTGTACATCTGCATTGAAAACAAGACAGAGGGATAGCATTTTCTTAAAATTCTGACAGATGGGTGATCCAAGTCACACAAGCTTACTGCAAACGTGCAAATTTAGATACTCAGACCCGTCACCCAGCTCTGTGTGTGTACAGCTTGACAAATACCAATACGAGCCTGAAGGGCAGCTCAGCTGAGCGTTACCTCCGATCTGGGAGTCCCCACTCAAAGCTCCCTCAGCCCTCGAGGGCTGGCGAGCAGCTACCCCGTTGCTTCTGCCGGGAAACAGATGAGCGAGAAGGGGCAGGGAAGAGAGTTGTGCTATTGGGAGAGAAACGGAAAGGGGTAGAGGGAACCATCTGCTCCTTCCCCCGGTGCAAAGGGGACGGAGGGAATCTGCCGGGGGCTTTGCTCGGCCCGGGCGGTGGGAGCGCCTCACCTCTGCCGAAGGCCC